TATTCAATTTTTTAGATATAATATATTTTGATGAAAGGGATACCAATATCCGATTAATTGGAATTTTTTCAAATATATTCCATTCAATATCTCTTAAAAAGTTAACGGTTCGCATCGTCGAAATGAGACATTAAAAAAACTCCATTGGTTGCACAATAGTGATTGCTGCTCGTGGTGCACAACACTCAACCCAAACCCATAAAATATCATAAATGATGATTTTTAATAAAAATTAAGCATTAATGCACCAAAAGATATTGTGATGTTGTTGATAATTGATTACGACAATATGTGCCTTTTAAATTTTTTTTTTTTGTTTTGATGGACTGTAAAATCTCAATTCAATTTTTCGTACGTTACTATTGATGATTGTAACAATATGTGCCTCGATAATTGATTTTCTGCCTTTTAATTTCTTATTTTGAATCCTTAATTATTAAATTTTTTTTGATGAATTATAAAATCTCAATTCAATTTTTTATACGTTACTATTGATGAATGTGGCATTATGTGTGACACTTTCAAATTCTTTTGCTAAACCTTTAATTATTTTTTGGTAGTGTGGGGATATAATTTTTGAATAACAACACGTGGGCGAGATGGTACTGAAGTGCCAGCCGAGGTGCCATGTGTCCTGTTGATGACGCCGAGATAATCTCGGCTAGACCGATGTTATCCGCGAAGATACCAGAATCCAAGATAAGCGGATAAGGGACAAGAGTCCTAGATCGGGAGAGCACTTCAGTTTGAATAAAGATAACACTCGTAAAGATTTTATCACAATCTAACTGGGAGTCCAGGATTAGTATTGAGTCAAAGTCCGTTATGCTTCTATTGGGATTAGGTCAGTGTTGGTTATAAAAGCGAGGCACTCTTGTAGGTCGAAGGTACGCTTTTTGTATTATGAATAGTGAGTTAAGCACTTGACTTGATCGTCGGAGTGCCCCAGATGGACGAACCACCGCCAGAATCTTATCTTTCTGTGACAGGTCGTTTGGACTTAATCTATTCTGCCGGTGCTCTCCAGCTAAGTATGTTTGACAGTGTGATCGGAAATTGACACACAAGTAAGTTATATACCCTCATTTCAATACAGTTTATATGAGGAAGATCTGCACTAGAGATGGATTGATGTTTCGATGGGATAGTTAATTATTTACGATAATCTTGATTATCAATGGCTATTAAGATGACAACGTGTGTAAAAAGAAAGATGGCTAAGATCCTAGTTGAGAGAGAGTGGTAGAGATTTTATTAGGGAAAATGAAAATGAGATATAAAAAAAAATTGTTGAAAAGGATTAATTTTTATTTTTTATTTTTTTATCAACAATGTTTATCTAACAAATAATAATCAAGGATATTAATGTCATTTCAAGAACTTGATGAGCGATCATTATAAAAAAAAATCATGAAGTTATTAATGAATGAATGGGGGTCGTGGGTGAAGATTATTTTAAATTAAAAATTTATAATTAAAAAATAGAAATTAAAAGCATCTATATATCAGTCAGCTTTTGAAAAATTATTTTTTCAAATTTATTTAAGTTATTTTTGTCTAATAAATTATAATTAGGAGTTGTACCAAACACTTTATCACAAATTTCTAAATTAAAATAAATTATAAACTGCTTCAATAATCTCCACCAAACACCCCCAATAACATATTTTAAAATTGTATCTATAAAAATAAGTAAATTTTTTGGTTAAAAGAGTTTAAAATAAAAAGTTTAGTTGATTTGGCTAAAAAACAATTTCACCTTCTGTACGAAATTCCATTCCGTGTTTTAATTGTGTTAATAAGGATTTCACAATAGTAAAATGGTAAAATCTCAACAAAAAGCAAAATTTTAAAAAGATCGCAGAATTTTTTTTTTCAAAATAAAAATTAACTTTTTGATGATTACCAAATACATCAAATATTTTCAATTACAAAAATTAAAAAAAAAAGAAGAAAAAAAGTTCTAAAAAAAACATACAAATCCCTTGTAAGGATTTTGTTGGAAATTAATATTTTTAATTGTTTTTTAACGTTTTATAAAAAGACATAATAATAAAGTAATGAGAATTATTTGACAATTTTTTGATTGACTATTTTGTTCAATTACCAAAAAGACATAAATACAAATTTTGGAGTGAAAAAACAAAGAGTCCTCTTTAGTCATTTTAAGAATATTTCCACTTAAATTTTTAGGATAATTCTATTTTCGCATCATATTTTATCTCAATACATATCATTTATGTCGTTCGAATATCAATTTAACAAAGGGATACTTGGAAAGAGAATTGGGCTAAAATAACCCACTAAGAGCATGTTTGTTTTGAAAGATAAGGGTGTGAGATTGGACTATTAGTTCCACCAGACTAATAATTCATTGTTTGTTTGAAAAATTTTGCTCTGGACTAATAGTCTCCCCGGACTATTAGTCCCACAAATATGGAACTATCCTATCCCATGGGAAAGGTGGGAAAGAAACCATGGGGTTGGTATCCCATGAGATTATTTTGTGAAATGTCTATTTTACCTTCCATGCTATTACGTAAACAATTAAAAAATGGTAAAATAGTCTATTGAACTTTTATAAATTATTTTTTTAGTGTTGTTAATTTAAAATTATATATTAAATAAAAATTTAATTATAAATTAAATTTAATTAAAAATTATGGCCTTATAAATTAAATTTTTTTAGTGTTGTTAAAAAATTAAATTTACATATTAAATAAAATTTACATATTGAAAATTTAATTTATATATTAAATAAAATTATTTTTTTAGTGTTGTTAATTTAAAATTATATATTAAATAAAAATTTAATTATAAATTAAATTTAATTAAAAATTATGGCCTTATAAATTAAATTTATAAATTATAGATTACAAATTTAAAATTATATATTAAATAAAAATTATAAATTACAAGGGTAAAATAGTCTTTTGAACATTTATCTTTCTGCAGTCCGTCTAACCAAATATTGGATTCACTAAAAATAGTCCAATCCAGACATCTAATCCCATGACTAAACAAACATAAGATACAATTCTAATCCATCCAACTAGTCCAAGGACAATGTATCCGATGAATTACAATCCCCCCTTATCCAGTCCGTCCAAACAAACACACCCTAAATGATAAAATAGATTAGAATAGCCAATAAGGTAAAATGTTACATTTGGATAAAAAGTAACTTTTTGACTTTTGACCTACTTTAAGTCACAGCACCTCTTTATTTTTTTTACACGTTTTTAAAAAAAATTCAAAAAATTAGCTTTTAACCTACTTGTTAAAACAAAACATTTACTTTTTTCTTTTACCATTAAATCAACTAAAAAAAATAACCAATTTTCCAAACATAACTATTTCAGCTAAGGTTATGTTTTCGCATGAATTTTTTGGACTAAGATAGCCACAAAAAGACAAAATAATTTAAAAAATTAATAAAATAAAATGCCACATTCAAACCATAATTATTTTATTTTTTCTCTCGCAAAATCCCAAACGAGATTTTTTAGTTCTATGTTAAAATAGCCAAAAAATCAACCCACATCTCAAAAGAAGGCTAAAATAGCAAAAAATTAAATAGTCAATTAAAATAGACAACTTCTCAAACAAAACCAAAATACAAATACTTAAATATTTACTTTTGAACAAAATACAAATATTTGAATATCAACTATCGAATAAATTTTTTGTTTAAACAATTAAGGGAAATATTATGGTGCACACCTCTTAAAGGATGTGTATTATATGCACTTTATAATTTAAAAATGGCATAATTTTATATTTTCTGAGTCATAATTAAAAAAATATCATAATTAAACATAACATGAGACATAATTAAAGATCCCATGAGTCATGACTAAAAAAGAAAATTAATCATAACAAAAAAAATTAGAATAACTAGGAAAAATTCGGATGCATAAGCTATGTTGGCATGTAAGGTTGGAGCTAAAATAGCCACAAAAGGAAAAAAAATAGGTTAAAAAGTCAATAAAATAAAATATTACATTTAACTAATAATTCCACTAGGTAGCTCGAATTCATTAAGGCTCGAATGGCTCAAGGTGTCAAGATGACGTCGTTTTGGTACCTTTTTTTTCCCCCTCTTTTTCTTTTCTTTTCTTCTTCCCCTGTCTTTCTCTGTGTTCAGATATGTTCTTCCTTTATTTTTTTTTCTTTTTTTCTACCATAACTCATAATTAAAAAAAGAGATAGAGGAGAGGAAAGAGATATAGCAAAGAGGAGAGGAAAATAAAAAAAAATCAAATAAGAAAAAAAATAGGGGAGGAAAAAAGAAACAAAAAGAAGAAGAGAGAACAACAGAAGAAGGAGAGGAGGAAGAAGAGAAAATGAGAACAGATCTATGTGTGTATACACACAAATCTATACAGATCTGCGCTGGTTAGATCTCTGTATACACAGATCTATCTATATATATGAGAGAGAGAGCCCACCATCGCAAGCCATCATTATCGTCGCAGTTTAGAAAGAAGAAGAAGAAGAAGAAGACCAAGGCAGAGGAAGAGAGATAGTGAAGAAAGAGAGAGAGAGATCGAGCCATTTGAGTCCCATTTATTTCGAGTTACGAAACTTTATTACTTAAATAACCATTTCATTTTTTTTATCATAAAAGTCAAAAATTTAAAAAGTCCATATCAAATGAAACTTTTTAATCCAAACTAAAATAACAAAAAAAATTAAAATTCTAAAAAATAAAAAAGCAAACTCACTTTGGCTTCGTTTTGGAAGAAGGATTGGGTTAGATTTTGGGTTATTTTTAGTCACAAAAAGATAAAATAATTTTTTTAACTCAATAAGACAAAACATCAATTTAACCGATAATCGTTACATTATTTTTCTCACAAAAAATCAAAAAATCTTATCAAACAAGACTTTTTAACTACAGACTAAAATAGTTAAAAAATTAAAAAATTAAAAAATCAACCTAAGCAAACCCGAAACAAAGGCGTAGTATATTAGAATTCCCCAATAATTAATTACTGAAATAGAGTACGGTGGTCGAAATTATGCCCCTTTCTCCCCGTCGAGTAACTCTCTCGTCGTACTCTTTCTCTGTCTGCACACAACTCGGAAGAAGGTAGAGAGAGAGAGAGAAGCAGCAGCTCGAAGCTCCATTTTGATGGAAAAATTGTCTCACTCTGTTTCGAAGAAACTCTACAACAATGCCAATGCCAATGCCAATGCCAATGCGAATGGCTTCTCAACTCACACAGTCTACGACGACGTCTTCGGAGGTCCTCCGAAGTTCGGAATCCCCACTTTCTCTCCTCGCATCGAAGACTACTCTGAGATTTTCGGAAGCTTTCACGCCTCTCGACCTTCCTCTATTCCGATTCTCGATCTTCCCGCTGTCGACGAAGCCGAATTCTCCTTCGATATCTGGACCTCCCATTTTGACTACTCTCAAGTGTTCGGCGGTTTCGAGGGCCTAGATTTCGCAGTCTCGTTCGATGAATTGTTCAACCATTCCAAGACTGCTTATGATTCCTCTGATGAAGCTTGGTATGTCTTTTGTTGCTTTTTGCCTTCAATTTTTTTCCTCATTTTATGCTGAAATTGTGCAAATAATTGTTTATCTCTTGTTGTTTGGTTCTTCCTATTTCTTTGTTTTGGTTACTCTACGGTCACTCTGTTGAACATTTGTTAATTGCAGAACAAAATATACAGGTTTTTGCAATTTTTCGTAACTGATTTTTGAGCCAATGTTCGCGTATTGTGACTGAAACCACGAGTCACTTTGGGGTTTCTGTAGGGTGTACGAGATTTAGCTTCTGTGTTTTGAGATAAAGAAAAAGAAATACAACGAGTTTGTCATGTGTTTGGATTGCGTGTTATGGGGATTTATCTTGGTAATTTGTTTGTGTTCTGAGACTTTTATATGGCTTCTTTGTGAAAACTCTATTTCTGAAGATAATCGTGCAAAACTTTGGTTATCTTTAGAATTGGGATTCAACAGGTTTCTCAAGAGGGCAATGTGTCAATTTTAGATATTTACCCATAACATAAGTAGGGAGGAATGGAAACTTCTCTATAGACTATAGCCATGTTTGTTCAAATACTTGGAAGAGGAAAATCAGAAAATCCCTCAGTTGGCTTATTTCTGAGAGATATCTTATGGCTTGACTTGATAATTCCTTTTATGGAGACACACAGGCTTGTTCAAAGCCTGGGCTAGGGGACCATCTCTTCATCACGGAATTAACCGTTATTGTCAGTTTCCAAGTGACCGTTTCTAATGGATGTACCTGTTCATGACCTCAGTCACATGAAGTGGAAGCAAGGACAAGGGTGGGGACAGGGTCAGAATGGCAACGAAGCCGAGGGAGTGGGGCGCATAGAAGAGTCTTAAGGTTTATATATTTAATATATTGTGAGAAATATATATATATATATATATATTTGTTGCTTAGTTGTTATATATATATATATGTCAAAATATGAATAAATATAAAAAGTGTCAACTACAAATTGTTTTTTGTAAATGTAAAATATATTAAGTAAATATGAAGTACTAGATATGAGTTAATTTTATTTTCTACTTTCTAGATTTTATAATATGAGGGTTGCCAGCTTTTATTTTGTTTCTTTGGGATTCTGGGAACAAGGTTCTTTCTAACTCAATTGCTGCTTTGAATTGAAATTGCAGTTCTAGAGCGAATTTGTGATTCCTAGTAGGAGGTTCTTGCAATTAAGTTCACTCCCCACAAATGTGAGGGGATTCGTAGAGAAAAATGATATTCATCAGAAGAGAGGTAGTGTAGAGAAAAATGATCTAAATTTTAATAAAGAGGGTTGAAAGCATTTAATTGAATAGTATCTCATAATTTAGGAATTACTTCTGGTAAAGGTTTTAGTTGTAATATGAGATTGGTAAATGTTTAAATTGAATTTTGATTCTTCATTGTAGTTCCTCTTTTCTTTAATCCATATGTATATATATATACATGTACAACTTATAAGGAACTCTTTGATGGAGCATTGATGATTCTGTTGCAATTTGCTGCTATTGAACATATTTCATTTTATAGGTCCCATTATTGTTTAATACAAGGAGATCAAAAAAATATTTCTTGATTGCTTCTGTTATAGCAATTTTAGAACTTTGATCATGCAATGTGTTTTGTCTTTTTCCTTGTTGTAGGACTCCAGCTCAGAGCGGATATTTGTCAGATGCGTCAGACCCTTCTGCTTGTTCAGAAAGGAATCAAAGCTTGTCAAATGAAGAATTTTACCAGTCATGTGATGGCATTAAGCAGTTCAATATATCATATGATAAGGCTAGTCAAAGAAGCAAGGAAGATATGTCAAATAGGATGGCCCATGTAACTCAACTACATGCTGTTCCTGGATTTAGCTTCGTAGTTAATGAAACCCCTCCTTCACAAAAAAGGAATATGCCTTTGCAGAAAACTGATGATCTCATCCCAAATGTTGATTTTAGTGGGGGACTAAGAGAAGGAAAGCAATTCAGGAAAACTATGTCACACCCATCAAGCAGTAATTTTGGCATACAGAGTTTGGGAACTGATCTCAAACCTGTGGGTTATGGCAAAACTGCATCTTCTGTAATTGAGGAACTTTTAACTGTATCTGATATCGGCTTAAGAACTCAACCATCTCGGTTGCCACCACCTTCGAGGCCACCTCCTGTTTTAGCTGCAAAAGATGGAGATTCTGATAGACAGAAATCAAAGCTCAAAGCTTCGAAAAGTTTTTCGTTTGGAGAGATGGCAGGTGACAGCTCTCCACCGTTTTTTGATGTGGAGGTAGATGCAAGCTCATCTGCTTCGGTCTCTGCTGCAGAAATGAAAGAGGCAATGGAAAAAGGTCAAGCAAAACTAAGAAGTGCAAAAATAATGGAGAGAAAGGAGGGTCTTCAAACCCATACAAAGCTTGGTTTGAAGAATGATGCAAAAGACAGGGAGGGAAAAGCAAGCAAGACGTTTGATGGATCCAGCTATTTTAAAGATGAGAGAGTGCATGGAACTTGCCAAAGTGATTGTAGTGGAATGAAAAGTTTTGCTGTGGAGGAAATGCCGAAAGTAATGAAGACAGCACGAGTTGTTTCAGATTCAATTGAAGGGGAAAACCATATAAATGTGGCTAAAGTATCTGCGGATAAAAAGCATGGGAAGGAGTATAGGTCAGCTCAAGAATATTATAAAACTGAGGAGCCTGTTGAATGGAGAGAAGCCACACAATTTTATGAAGTAGTAGAAACAGATAAATCCAGAAAGATCTCTGAGCAGGTAAAGGATGAAAGGGTTTCGGTGCAAAATACACAGTTCTGTGAGCGTGGACAAGAGAAAAAAGCAACTCCAGCATTTCAACAGCAAGAAGATGACAATAGGGAAATAAAAGATGATAGGGAAGCTCGTGAATGGGATGGAAACAAGGGGAGATCAAAAGCAACAAAAGAATCAAACATCCAAGAGGAGCATGAGAAGAAAGCAAAAGCGAATCAAAAGGTTTGTAAACAGGAAGAAAATGGGAAGAAGACGAGAATGGTCCAACAACAGCATGGAGACATTGAGAAGATACAAACTGAAGCTGATCAAAGCAAAGAGAGTCAGAACCTGCCAGAAGTTCAGCAGAAAGAGAATGAAGTGGAAGTTGAAAAGAAACGAAAAGAGGCTGCTGAAAGAATAGAAGATGAAAAAAGACATGAGGATGCTTATGAAAGGAAACTAAAAGAAACTGTTGAGAGGGAAAGATATGAGAAAAAACTCAAAGAGGCCACTGAGCAAGCAGAAATTGAGAGAAGACTAATGGAGGCTCTAGACCAGGAAGAAAAGGAGAAGCAACAAAAAGAGGCTAGTGAAGGAGAAGAGAAAGAAAAGAGACAAAAAGAAGCTCGTGAAAGAGAAGACAATGAGAAGAGACTTAAAGAGGCTCGTCAAAGAGAAGAAAATGAGAAGAGATTTAAAGAGGAAGAGAATCAAAAGAGATTGAAAGAGGCTCTGGAGCGGGAAGAGGCCGAAAAGAGACTTAAAGAGGCTTGTGAAAGAGAAGAAAATGAGAAGAGATTGAAAAAGGCTCTGGAGCGGGAAGAGACTGTAAAGAGAGAAAAAGAGGCCTGTGAAAGAGAAGAGAAAGAGAAGAGACTTAAAGAGGCTCATGAAAGAGAAGAAAATGAGAAGAGACTTAAAGAGGCCCGTGAAAGAGAAGAAAATGAGAAGAAACTTAAAGAGGAAGAGAATCAGAAGAGACTTGAAGAGGTTCGTGAAAGAGAAGAAAATGAGAAGAGACTTAAAGAGGCCCGTGAAAGAGAAGAAAATGAGAAGAGACTTAAAGAGGAAGAGAATCAGAAGAGACTTAAAGAGGCTCATGAAAGAGAAGAAAATGAGAAGAGACTTAAAGAGGCTCTTGAGCAGGAAGAGAATAAGAAGAGATTGCAAGAGGCTCTGGAGCGGGAAGAGACTGAAAAGAGACAAAAAGAGGCCTGTGAAAGAGAAGAGAAAGAAAAGAGACAAAAAGAGGTTCGTGAAAGGGAGGAGAAAGAAAAGAGACAAAAAGAGGCTCGTGAAAGAGAAGATAATGAGAAGAGACTTAAAGAGGCTTGTGAAAGAGAAGAAAATGAGAAGAGACTTAAAGAGGCTCTTGAGCAGGAAGAGAACAAGAAGAGATTGAAAGAGGCTCTGGAGCTGGAAGAGATTGAAAAGAGACTGAAAATGGCTCTTGAGCAGGAAGAGAATGAGAAAAGGAAAAAATTGGCTTGTGAACGAGATGAAAATGAGAAGAGGCTTGTAGAGAATCTTAAGTGGGAAGAGATTGAGAAGAAACTGAGCGGTGCTCTTCGGCAGGAAGAAAATGGAAAAAATAAAAAAGGGGCTCATGACACACAGGAAAATGAGGAGAGACTAAATGAGGCTTGTGAAAGGGAAGAGAATGAGAAGAGCCTTGAAGAGGCCTCGGAACAAGAAGTTAGTAAGAAACGACTACAAGAAGCACATGAAAGACAAGAAAATGAGAAGAGGTCAAAAGAGGTTTTCAAGCATAAAGAAATTGAGAAAATATGGAAGAGGCTAATGATTGTGAAAAAACTCAGAAGATGACTGAAGATGCCCGATATTGGGAAGAACTGAAGGGACGCAGCAGAGATCATGAGCAAAATGAAAGGGATGAAAATGAAAGGAAACTGCATTCTGATCAAGGAACTTGTGTGCACACGCAGGTGAATTTCAAGGCATCTGATGGGGTGTGTAAGCTGGGTGACTGTGAGAACCTACAACCTGATCAAGCAGTCTGCGCACAGGACAAAAACAGTGTAAAAGTGAAAAAGACCGAAGGGGCCCGTTTATTTGAAGAGGATAGAAACATGAAGGCTGAATCGATGGATAGTGAGGGGCAAATGGAAGCAGTTGAAGTGGTGAATGTGCTGTTTGAAGAGCAATCCATCTCATCTGGCATGGGTCAAAATGACTCACAACATGAAAAGAACCAAACCAGAGTGAAAGATGCCACAGAATCGCTCGATCTGCATGACACTCTGAAAGAGCCAGTTGAAGCTGGCATTGGTATTGGCATTGGACAGCACATGGACAGAAATAAGAAAGCTTGTGAAATAGCCTCCAATACTGGGAAGCCAAATGTAATCAATTATGCACTTGGAGAGAGGGGGAATAATGTCAAAGAGGTTCAAATGACATTTGACAAGGAGGAAAGCAAAGACAAATTCATGTCATCACAAGTGGTAAGAGAGTTGATTGAAAATGGAAGGAAATTGGGAGCTGATCAGCCAACTGTGTTTGAGAGAAAAAGACATGCACAGAGCACAGCTCAGAAGGTTAGCACAAGCCAAAACACAGAAAGAAAAGAGAAGAAACTTAATGGTATCCTCATATCAGAAGAGAGAGAGAAACAAGAAAGGATGAAAAGAGAAAGAGAGCTGGAAAATGACTGCCTAAGAAAGATAGAGGAAGAGAGGGAAAGGGAAAGAGAGAGAGAAAGAGAAAAGGACCTGATGGCTGTTGATAGAGCTACTCTTGAAGGTCGCGAAAGGGCATTTTCTGAAGCTCATGACAGGGCAGTAAGGGCTGCTGTGGAGCGGGCAACTGCTGAAGTTCGACAAAGAGCAATGACAGAGGCCCGAGAAAGACTAGAGAAGGCATGTGCCGAGGCTAGAGAAAGGTCATTAGCGGAGAAGACATCTATGGAGGCCAGGCTCAGGGCAGAGCGTGCTGCAGTAGAGAGAGCAACTGCAGAGGCTCGACAGCGTGCTTTCCAAAAAGTTATGGCTGAGAAGGCTGCTTTTGAGGCTCGAGAATGTGTTGAAAGATCAGTGGCTGATAAGTCCTCTGCTTCTTACAAAAATGGTGGAATGAGACAAAGCTCTTCGTTTTCTGTGAGTATACCCTTCAATGATGTGATTTATGAAGTGCTTGCCTAACAGCCTATTAACAGATGATAAATGGCAGGATGTGCAATCTCAGGGCATTGGTTCTTCCATTGGGTCCATTTATTCATATTCTTCAGTTCATGGTGGTACGTGATATGTGAAACATTAGAAATAATTTACTTGCATGTGGAATCTTGTAGGACACCACCAACAATGATTTTCTGTACAATATGGAGTTTTGCTGTTTTACTAAATCTACTTTTTCATCAACCTTCGATGCTTTTCTGCTTTGCTTATAATTGTGATATATTTTTTCTGTAAGAAGCTTCCCATAACACTTGAGAGATTTGTAGGAGTTGAAGGTGAATCAGCTCAGAGGTGTAAAGCAAGGTTAGAGAGGCATCGAAGAACTGCTGAACGTGCTGTATGTGGCTTATTTTTCTATTTTATTTTTCATCCTTCCATAGAATTGTTAAAGTTATATCTGCATCTAACATTATGAGCTAAAACTATACCTGTCACCTTTTCAGGCAAAAGCTCTAGCCGAGAAGAACACGCGTGATCTTCTTGCTCAAAGAGAGCAAGCAGAGAGAAATGTAAACATCTTTTCATAAGTGTAATTTTCAGAACCATGAGTTACCTTTGCATTTCCATGGCTCATATCAATATATGCTTGCAGAGATTGGCCGAAGCTCTCGATGCTGAAGTGAAGAGATGGTCGAGTGGGAAAGAAGCGAACCTGCGTGCATTACTTTCGACACTGCAATATGTATTAACCTTAATCCTTCTTGCACATAAACATGCATTGTGTGTTTCATTTGCATTTATACAGCATTCAGTGCATTAGGAACTATTCAAGTGTTTTTAGCTATGACATGTACTTCAATAAAAAATGAAAATATAATTTTGGGTAGAAGTCTTTGTAAAGTTAGTGTCAATTTTTTTAGCTACAAGCCATGCCTGTGGGAATCCTATCAATTTAGTTACTATATATTCCCAAGTGCTCTATTCTTCTGGTTGCCCAGCAAAAATCGATCACTTTCTTGAATATGATTAGATCAGACATCTATGAAACTAAATTGGCATAGGATGTTAGTGTGAAGAAGGCATAGAACGAAATGAAATTACTCTCTCATGCTACTTCATCTGCGTTGAACTATTGGCCGGAGTGAGGATTTTGCTGCTGGCACAGAATATTTTTTGAATCGACAATGCTATGTAGCTCAAATTTTGTGGCTCAAAAGTGGCTCAAATGGCTAAAACGACGTCGTTTTGAGTACAGAATAACATAAAAAAGGCCAAAACGACGTCGTTTTGGCCATTTGAGCCACTTTTGAGCCACAAAATTTGAGCTACGAGACATTTTCCTTTTTGAATATCCTGCCCCTGAAAACTAATACATGGAGCTGTGGCCCGACCAAGGTCCATATTCTGCATCAATATATCAATTATTATCTGCTAATAGATGCAGTCAGAGTCTTTCATTTCTCTTCCTTGTTCATGTGTAGTTCAATAGATGATCGAGATCGACATAGTTCAGTATTAGAATATTGATCCTCAACCTTGCTTGGTTACACTGACTGATTCCTTTTTCTGTAATTTTCCATTTACTTGTGCTCTAAATTACATTTTTGTCATCCACAGATCCTTGGGCCTGATAGTGGTTGGCAGCCAATTCCCTTGACTGAAGTTATAACTTCTGCAGCTGTTAAGAAAGCTTACAGGAAAGCCACTCTGTGTGTTCACCCTGACAAATTACAACAACGTGGTGCAAGTATTCAGCAAAAGTATATATGTGAAAAGGTTTTTGATCTTCTGAAGGTATTTTACTGGCTTCCCTTTCTTTTACCAATTTGATCAATGACTATGTTCTAAAAAACTATGAAATAAAGCCTTTCTCCATGCTACATATAAGTGAAAGTGAGCATATAATAATCTCTCTCTCTCTCTCTCTCTCTCTCGCTCTCTATAAAGCTTGATAAATGGATACTTGTTCCCAAGTTACTACTACAAAAATGTTACTGTTGAGCTTGATATAGTTTTCTTGTCTTGGCATTTTGGTACACCTCAATAGTATGTCTTAAACTTTGTACTATACATCTATGATTAAAATTATAGTTTATTTAAGTACATGAATACCTTGGTAATTGAGATTATACTATAATTGTACTTACTACTTCATACATGCTAGTTTTGTAAAAATGGAGGTCGTATCCAAGGAATGCGGTGATACGATAATTTACCTGATGAAATGTCTTATGCACATGAAACCCAGTTTTGGCATCTAAATTTGAATAGTAAAAATGATTCTCTGGTTAATTAATCATTATTCACTTATTAACATCTGATTACCCCCAAAAAATAAATAAATAAATAAAATGGAACGAAAAGAGTACTAGCCAAGTTCAAGCTTCAGTTATGACAGTATGAGATGGACCTTTAATGTTACAGTAACTTTGTCCTCTTTAACCCCCAATGTAATGGACTGATCTTTGCCATGAGAGTCATTTAACTCAAATTACATCCAAACAAATTACTGAAGTTTGGTCAGAAGTAACTAACAGTTTTTGATAATCGTTGCAGTACTTTTCTATTTATTGTTTTTGTTTTATTTGTGTTCAGGAAGCTTGGAACAGATTCAACTCGGAGGAGCGGTAGATGGCCATTGCAGCACATCATATAATTTATACTTGTAGCTAGTAAATATCTCTACGTCTGTCAAATATTTTTAGTTCTTTCGTTAGGTTCCAAAGGTAAGCTCAAACTTCGAGATTGCCAGGGAAGAAATGTTGGTGAAAGAAGGTGGTTTATCTCTTTCGCTTTATCGCTGCAGACCCTTTAACAGATTAAAATGGAGGTCTGTTCTCTTTCATGCTATGATGATTTACCAGAGGATTTGAGATTCGGATTATTTATATATATATATATATATTGCCGGGAAGACAGTGCGGTCGGCAATAATGAAGGGTTGGAATTGAAATCCCATTTCTGTTTGTCATTGTTATCGCATTCCTGTTTCCAGTGTCCTTGAATTCGAGTACATGTACAATATAACACATCTGGTTTGGTGATTAATGGATAGAATTAAAATAGATAGAGCTATTGATTTATTTTAGTTGAAGACATGTTGCCTATGATCTAAACGTTAATGATCGTTTTAGTTTGAAATGCTCATTACCGTACATGTGCTCCGTTACTAATGTGTTGACAACTGCTCTATTGATTAACCCATTGGAGGGCTGAAAGAGGAGAAATTGGAAAGTTAAATTTGAAATTAAGCTTAAATTATCCCAAATTCAAATGAAATGTAATGCAAATGCAATTAAAATTATAATTCATGCGATCTCTGTACATATCTCAAATGAACCAGTAAGTGAAATTCATCATCCATTCGACATTCTAATTAGATTTTGTATTACCAACCCAATCTCTCTCTCAAAAAGAAAAGAACAGTCAATTACGTCAACTAAAATAACCTCTGTTCTTTAACGTCATTTTTGTCCAAAAATTATTATTATTTTTTTTAAAGTTATAAAACAATTATATTAAAAATTATTTGATCAATTATATAATATGACTCTAAGAGTAAAGGGGCACAATATAATTATATTAAAATTATAAGACTTATCATATTTTTGTTGAACTTTAGATGAGAGCAGTGTAATTTTCTCTTCTTTTGTTTATTAAATAGAATGTCCTATAAAAAGGACCAAAAAAAAAAAAAAAAAAAAAAACCCCTCTTTAAAATGGTTAGTTAATTTCTTATAAAGTAATGATACGATTACAACTATGCTTTATATTACTTATACTATCCCTTCAATTCCAGGGCATCCAAATCTGAGTTAATGTCCACATTTAGTCGTTTTATCTGTTTTTTACCCGCCAAAAAACTTCACAACCGATTTTTAAAGGACGCTGCAATAATAACGAAGCATCAATACCGCAATGTCCACATTCACCACCTGTTCGACGAAACGCCCCACAGAGACCTCTATTCTCTCAACTCTCTTCTCACCTCGTATGTTCGCAACGACGACCCTCTTGCGGCATGGAATCTATTCGTTCACATTCATCATATTCGTTCCGACCTCACTGCTTACACTTTTACGCCTGTCTTGGGCGCGTGTTCGTCTTTGTCGAACTCCAATCGCGGCCGACAAGTCCATGGTTTGATGATCAAACTGGGGTCTGACTCGGGAATTGTTACAAAAACTGCGTTGATTGACATGTACTCCAAGTATGGCCAATTGGGTGACTCGGTTCGTGTCTTTGATGAGATGGGTTTCAAGGATGTGGTTGCTTGGAACGCAATGCTATCGAGCTTTCTGCGCCATGGTTTCCCTGTGAAAGCGCTGGGTGTATTTGAGGCAATGAGGAAGGAAAGAGTATGATTATTTGGAATTTAGCGAGTTCTCGTTGTGTTCTGTGCTTAAAGCTTGTGCCTCTTTGAATGCAAAGCGACAGGGTAAGCAAGTTCATGCGCTGGTGATTGTAATGGGCCGTGATTTGGTAGTGCTGAATACTGCTCTGATTGATTTTTACTCGGGTGTGGGATACATCGATGAAGCAATGAAAGTTTATTGTAAATTGAATCGCCAAGTGGATGATATAATGCTTAATTCATTGATTTCTGGGTGCATTCACAATCGAAAATATGATGTCGCTATGTCGATTATGAGTGCCATGAAACCTAACGTAATCGCACTAACCAGTGCCCTCGCTGCGTGCTCTGAGAATTCAGATTTGTGGATTGGGAAGCAGATACACGGCATCGCTATCCGTCAGGGCTTCATCTCTAGTACCCAGTTGTGCAATGTATTACTGGACATGTATGCAAAATGTGGGAAGATTTTGAATGCCCGTTTGGTATTCGATCAAATGCCTCAAAGTGATGTAGTTTCTTGGACAAGCATGATAGATGCATATGGAAGTCACGGACATGGGTGTGAATCTCTTGAGCTGTTCAAGAAAATGGGGGAAGAGGGTAATCGTGTTGTGCCTAATTCTGTGACATTACTTGCTGTTTTATCTGCGTGTGGGCATTCAGGTCTCGTGGAACAAGGCCAGGAATGTTTTGCTTTGTTTCAAGAAAAGTACAGTGTGGATCCAGGTCCAGAGCACTATGCCTGTTTTATAGATATATTAGGTAGGGCAGGTCAGATTGAAGAAGCATGGCGACTTTTTCATGATATGGTTGACAGCAGTATTAAGCCTACTGCCGCTGTATGGGCAGCGCTATTGAATGCTTGTACACTTAACCAGGATGTCACTAGGGGTGAATTTGCTGCTAAGCAGCTCTTTGAGTGGGAACCAACTAAGCCTGCGAATTACATAGCATTGTCGAATTTCTATGCGGCCATTGGAAGGTGGGATTCGGTTGACTTGCTGAGAAGCATTATGAAAGATAGAGGGATTGCTAAGGAAGCAGGGAGTAGCTGGGTCGCCATTGCCAGCAGCAATGAGAATTACACTGGCCTATCGAGTTCAGAAAAATTAAATGTCAAACCTTCAACAATTTTCGGCATCAGAAAATGAGTTGTGTTACTTCAGGATTGGTTGATTCAAAGTCCATTTGGGGGTGGTCATGGTGAAAACAGTAGCACCACCATTGATTTTGCTTCGTCAAAACTTCATTTGTCATCAAGGTCAGCCTTCCATATCAGCTTTCACTTGATTCTGGAATTGAGTTACTGAAATCAGTACAATATTTTGACATCATACATGCACTTTAGCACTTAAACCTGATCTTGTCTTTCAAACTATGGCAGCCACCTTTGAATGACGAACCTGTTAAACTAATACACCATGTGGTTGGTTGTGTTTAAACATGCACAGCTTCATGAAATTTTCTTCTGATAAGTCAATGAATACAATTTATGTTTTTGTGCTTGGAACATGTTTTTTTTTTACAGAAGTGTGACCTAAGGCATGTAATTTGAATCAAATTAACAGGAAAACTATATAGGAAAAAATGACAAAATTAATTTCTATTTCATTCACTTTTTTCATTCCCTCCGCAAATTTCTCTTCAATTCAAGATTCAAACACAACTTAAATGTTAACAGTAAGCTAAGCAGATGCAGTCTGTTTGCCATGCCGAAGTTAAAGCAGATTGAAGGACTACGGACCTGTTTGGAGTAGCTTGTTAAGTTGCCTATCTCTTGTTATTTCGGGAATCTGTATTAGACTGTTTATGAGAAAAAGTAAATAAGTTGAAAAACTGATTATTGGGTGACGGATGCTTCTAGTTTCTATTTGCTTCCCGTCTCATTTTCCCTGTCCTCGCCTTGCCCGTGGTCATTGTTACTGATTATTAGCTTAACCATGTATCCCTCCATCCCTTGGTTTAGCAAAGCTGCCTATCTAGTCCTTATTTGAAGTGGTCAATGGCAAAAAAAAAAAAAATTGAAAATTTTAAATTAGTCCCTACACTTTCAATTAGTTAAATTTTGACTCTTAATTTTAAATTTTATGTCAATTTAGTCTTATTGCTAATATCGTTAGTGATTTTGACAGAAAGTGATTACTGAATTAGTTGAAATTAACTCGCTAAGATTTATGAATTTATAATTTTTCTTCTTAAAGCATGATACAAATCACTTATGTGTGTATTTTTCATTACAAAATTCTACTAGATATAATCAATTAGACCAAAAATTCAGATAAAATCATAAATTTAAGGGAAATTACTCATCAGGGCTAACTTTTAAAAATTATTACATATTTATGAAAAAATTATAATTATAATTATTAATTTATAATGTCATGTAATTTTTTTTTAAATTTAAAATCAAAATCAAACTAATTAAAATTACAATAATCAAAATTGCACAAGAAACAAAATATAAAGTTATAGAGTAATCATATTTATCTATATATATTATTAAAAGCAAATTTTTTTTTCATGCTTAGTGGCACATTATAAGGGTTTATTTTTTTTATTTTTTATTTTTCTAAGAGAACTACGTCAGCATGTATTTTCTTAATTACATATAGACACTACAGGAAATGACACTTTTGGCTACTAAAATATTGGTCGCCAAAAGTCTCGTATTTGATCGCTGAAATGATTTAGCGACTAAAAAGTTTTGTCGCTAAGTTCGTCGCCTATACCCTGTTGGCGATAGTATTGATGACTAAACTTTTGTTTGGTCACCAAAAGTGAAAGATTTGCCTACTAAATTTGTTTTACTCGGCAAATGTGTTCGTTTTGCTACTAAAACCTTTAGTTGCCGAAAGTTAATTTTTGGCTACTAACCGTTGGTTCGTCGGGGAAGGTGTGCCTTTTTGCAACTAAACAATTGGTCATTGAAAGTGAACTTTTGGCTACGAAACCTAAATTAGTCGGCAAAGGTGACATTTGGGCAACTAAATTGTTAGTTACTAAAAGTTCTACCGTAAAAATATTTTCAGCTATTAGAGACCAAAGTGTTAGTCACTAATAGAATACATATATTTAGCGACCATGGAATTTAGTCGTTGTGACTTTTGCCGACTACATTTGATTGTAGCCAAAAACCTCTTAAGTTTCACTTCATTATTTTTTACCACCAAACGTTTTAGTTGCCAAAGGATGCCGTGTTTTTTCGTGACTAAAAAATTTAGTGGGTAATAGTTTCTTTCTCTCATTCTCAATTGTTTTAACTGTTAACTATTTGGTCGCAAAAAACTTATTTGGTTATGTTTTTGCTACTAAATTATCAGTCGTCAAAATGTTTGATTATGTATTTGGCTACCAAAATATTTAGTGGCCAAATACTATATTAATTTTTTTTTTTGTTTTTTTGTTTTTTTCTGAACCACCTGTATCCATTATTAGTATAACCTGTACCCTGTATAAATAATATAATCCATCAACTCTGAATATATTATCAACCATTTAACAATTCAACAACGTGCACACATTTCACTTCCTACAATCCAAAAGATTAATATTGAACGTCCAATTCTAAATATAATACAAATTCCATACGAACCACGTCTAATCCAACGTCAATAATTTAATTCCATACATAATAGAGGAATAACCAAATTTCATATCGAAAAGGACATATGTACCATACCAAAAATTTAATCTGTACCGCCCCAAAAGAACATTGTACCACGTCCTATGCTAATTTCTACCATCCCAAATTTTAGATATTTACCACACCAAAAAAGTAATTTCTACGAACCACTATATATACGGATAGAGGTATAAAAACAATGCCCTTCTGTACTTGTCAAAAAAAGTCATATCCGCATTTATAAGTCCAAAACCATCTGCAAAAAAAAAAAAAAAAAAAAAAAAAATTGCTAAAAAAAAAAAAAAAATTAATAGTTTGGAGGACATATAGCAACTGTGAAAGTGTTCAAATATTAAAAGACAAGGAGAGTAATAGTGTGTGTTACAAAGATACCCAAACTCTCTGAGATTAAATAGATATAAAGTGTGTTAACTTAACTAGTATTTCAAAGACCAAGAATGGTTAATAGATATATAGAATTTCCATATACCTAGTTTTCAACCATCCAATACAACTCCAGACCAAGAATGGTTCATAGATATGTGGAATTTCGATATACATGAAACCAAGGTTTCTTGGATGCGAGAATGCTAAATAAAATTTCAAGACTCACTACTTAAAATCAAGTAAAGCTTTGAAGGCACTACGCAATTTCAACTTAAGTTATATGGGAGATGTCAAACCTTGAGAAAAAACCAATTTCAAAACACCCATCATTTTCATTGTTGTGTTACAACAATTTTCAAAAATTCAAAAAACAACTTACAAGTGTGTCCTAAAAAAGGTGTCTTAGAAAAGAAAAGAAAATAAAATTCAAAAACAGTTTGCAGTATGAGTTTCTGTTTCCCCCCCCTCCTCTATTTTCAATAATCACAAAAATGATACCCCTAGACTAGATTATGCATCCTGAATAAATCTCTTAACTCTATTTTTTCTTCATTCCAAGGAAAAACTGCGCCAAAAAATCATATGAATTGTAATGCAGTGCATAAGACCATATTCAAATTTACTAAAGCAAAAGCACAGCTTTATATGCATGCTTTTGGAAGCAAAACTTTGGCCATACAAAACGTGCTCATCCTTATAGACAATATTCTTCAAGCTAAACTATAAATGAGTATTTTAAATTGCTAGGACTTTAGACTAGAACTTAGTTTTGGCTATCCCTGTGTGACACTTTCTCGTGTGTAAAACTTCTTTCAATTGTAATTGGTTTTTATTATGTTAGGAAGATCTGAATCTGAGCTAGCTGGGTCTCTCTCTACAAGTGCGCAAATAGCTCAAAATAGTCCTTGGGTGATCTTAGATCATCCCTTGAAAAAATTGAAGTGATCCTTGGATCACCTAGTCATCCAGTCATGGATTGAAGATTTTGAAGGGAAATAGAATTCAATTTCACTTCAAGTGTAAACCCCTTTGGTGGATTCCAAAGGTTGGAGCATTAAGCTTTGGTGGATTCCAAAGATAGCTCATCTGCTGTGCATTTGACTACGTTATCGACAATCTCAACGTAAACTTGAACACGGAGGCTGCACAAGGGTCTTAAGTCTATTGGGCATAGATTCGTCAGGTTCATTAAAAGATCCCTAGTATAAGTGTGGGGACATAATTTTTGAATGACAACACGAGGCCTAGGTGACACTGAAGTGTTAGCCGAGGTATCACGTGTCTTGGTCATGACACCGAGATGATCTCGGCTAGGCCGAGGTTATCTGCGAAGAAACCAGAATCCGGGATAAGCGGATAAGGGACAAGAGTCCTAGAATGGGAGAGGACTTCAGTCTGGATAAAGATAAGACTCTTAGAGAGTTTATCCCAATCCCACTAGGAGTCCAAGATTAGCAGTAAGCCTGAGTCCATTGAAGCTAGGCTCCTATTGGGATTAGGTAAGTGTTGGCTATAAAAGAGAGGCACCCCCATGGGTCTAAGGTATGCTTTTTATGCTCTGAATAGTGATTTAAGCACTTTTGCTATCTTTGAGAGATAATTGACTTGATCGTCGAAGTGCCCCCGAGTGGACGAACCACCGCCGGAATCTCTTCTTTTTGTGACAGGTCGTTCGGGCTTAATCTATTCTGCCAGTGTTCTCCAGCTGAGTGCTTGATTGACAGTGTGGTCGGAAATTGATACACACAATTTGGCGCCGTCTGTGGGAAAGAAAGGAGAATAGATGGCCAACGACGGACAGAAAGAGAAGGTTGAGGACGACACCCCTACTGAGAGTGGGAAACATATTGACCTTGACATCGAAGAAGACAACTGCAACGAAGAGACTCGTGATAAGAATCACGGAGGAAAGGACGTTGGCCAGGAGGGCGGCGTACCGAAGAAATCGGATCGGAGCGGGTAATATAATGAGGACGACCTCTAGGTATGGAAAGATAGATGCTTGCAGAGGGACGACAAGATGAAGGGAATGGCAGAAAAATTGGCGGACCTGCAAACAGTCGTCAATTTCATGATACATAACAATGTCATGCAGCCACTGTTCCGCTACAAGATACGCCGATTCCAGTGGCCAAGAAAGGCGCCCAGAAAGGGGGGCAGAAAACGGTTCCTGCAGTCCCTCAGCATGGCGGGACCAAGGGACATTCTCACCGGCCTTCGCGGGAGGTCGGGCATGGAAAATCCCAGAAGACACGTCGAACAAAAGAAACCTGCACCAAAGAACGTCGGGATGTTCAGTGAAAGGAACTCTGTTTCGATACGACCAATGAAGGGAGGTCTAAAAGGACTCACAATGACACTGGAGGTAGTGCACCAAAGAGGTTGAAATCCAGAGATAGTCGAGCTCCTGGACGAACCAAGGAGGATCTGAGGGATTACCTCCAGAGAAAGCGACAAGATGCCGAGGTAACCTCTCCGGTCAAGCCGAGGACACCG